AGCATTGTCATCAGGCACAGAGTTTTAGAAAAATGTGGATGCTCTAGTTAGTCGGCAAGTGAAATAAATTTTGATTTCGCCTTCACATATACGAAAATGAGTTAACGCAAGTGCAGAAATATAGTAATAAAATATGAAGAGAGGTAATTGTCACAAACTGGGAAAAGTTGTACCAAAATATTTTGATAAGAAAAGCATCTTTCACCATATCTCATGCAAAAATAAACAAAACAAATAATATATACTTTTACTTAATTTTAAATATCGAAACAAAAGTATTTTTATTGAGAGCAAGAAATTGAAAAAAAAAATAGACTTAAAACTGCCTTTTATATCATATGAAATATTTTATTGCGAGTTCGAGTTTTAATTTGATTTAATAGTATAAATAAGAAATTAAACGGGCCTCAAAGGTTAAACGGACTTTTTTAATTTCAAGGTAAAATTTATATTCATATAAAAAATTTCAAATGTTGTTCTTTTACTTTCTAAAAGTTTAAATAATGTAATTATCTTATTGTATTTTTAAAAACAAAGAAATATGCTCTTTTTTATCCATTTCAAATGCACGTAACCCTTCTTATATTTGGTACTGTATAATTTAATTATAAATTAAATTATGTGCCTTGCTTCAAACTATTCACTTCACCTTAATATTTTAGATAAATAAATAGGATAAATGGAAACATTATACAGTATTGACTGCATAATTTTCCATTTATTCTTCTTTTTTAATCAAAAATATAAAGTTGAAGTAAATTACGCGATTTGGAATATTTAGGCTGTGATTGCTACCATTATAGTTCCTCTTCATTATAGTTAATATTCAAAAGTTTCTGTTTTTCAAAAGTTTATATGTAAACCTTTAGCCTATTTTGGTTGCGAAATTATTCCAGAAAAGTTCAATTACCAATAGTTTTAAAGCCATGTCGCTAATAACCAAGTTACATTGATTATTCACAGTATTTATACGAAATATCAAAGAGCAAAACAGACGAAAAGGAACAAAAACTGTAACGAAAAAAAAAGAAAAAGAAAAAAAAAACGAAATGCATGAAATCAAAATAAACAAGGAAAAAGATGCAAACAATACGTTGTTACGAATGAAATGTAACTTATTAAAAGAACACCGATGGTTCGTTTTCCATGAATAAAGCGCATAAATTTTCGGAGTCACGACCGATAAAATAGAATACTGAAGTATAATCGTTCTTTTTACGAAAGAATATGGCAGCAGAATTTAGCTGCTTTAGTTACGGTTACGGAATAAACTAGTATTACCATGGCATTAGTTTTTTTCCCGTGACTGGATCTATTGTTTTCATTCTAAACCTTGATTTTGGGTTGTATTTTATTACAATGAGAAGAAAAAATGAATCTTTTATTTACACATTTACTAAGGTTCGTTAAGTTTAACGAGTTTACTACATGTAGTTTGGAAGTTATCCAAAATTTTATACGTTATTGAAATTTTTATTTTTAATATTCGTTCTAGATCAGGGTTGTATCATTCTATACTTAATTTCAATATGTAATCACGCAAAAAAATTTGATTGGACTCCGTTCACACGAAAATCTTGCGTGATTATTCATTGTATCATAAAACAAAATAAAGTACATTTTACTGGATAACAAAGGATTAACTTATAAAAAGTATAAAAGTAAATATTTTATCAATCAGAAGAATTCTTGAAATATTTGTACAAACTATTGATCTAAACCAGGGATGGGCAAACTACGGCCAGCGGGTCAACTGTGGCCCGCCAGAAGGTTTTATCCGGCCCGCGGATAGAATTTTAATTTTTAAGGGGCAAATATAAACTATATACATCCATTTTCTTGTCAACTATTTAAAATTATTTTTGTTGTTCCTTTTATAACAAAGTACTGATGACCTTTTTACTTTCTCTATTTTTGTTCTACAAATCATAAATAGATGGAAATAGTTAGCACAGACAGTTTTAATTGGTAAAATGTTGAAGTTCTTCATAGAATAGCCTTAGATTGGCTCTTACTAGCGTTTGTCTTTCTCGAGGAATCTAATCTATATATATATTTCTCTTACACGGTGTCAAAAAAAAGCCTCATTACAACTCCCCGAATGGCAACGCTAGAAAATCGACCAATGATTGCCGCTAAAAATGTCACATGACAAATCTAGCTGAGATGGCTCAGCATATAGCGCTTTTAAAAGCGGAAACTGAAATAACTAGAGAGAGCATAAGCTGGGCAGAAGTGAGTACTCTTTGTCGATAGATCTCTGTATAAAATTTTTTTTTATTCGCTTAAAAGCTTTCAGAGATCTATGCACATAAGATAAGCTTTCAGAGATATATGCAAAGAGAAACATGCGAATAAGTAAAATTAACGTTAAGGGGCCCAAACTTTCGACAATAAATCTCCTGACTAAACTATTAAATAAAGTACTAAAAAATAATAATAGTAAATATCGNAAAAAAAGCCTCATTACAACTCCCCGAATGGCAACGCTAGAAAATCGACCAATGATTGCCGCTAAAAATGTCACATGCCAAATCTAGCTGAGATGGCTCAACATATAGCGCTTTTATAAGCGGAAACTGAAATAACTAGAGAGAGCATAAGCTGGGCAGAAGTGAGTAGTCTTTGTCGATAGATCTCTGTATGAAAAAAGTTTTTATTCGCTTAAAAGCTTTCAGAGATCTATGCACAAAAGATAAGCTTTCAAAGATATATGCAAAGAGAAACATGCCAATAAGTAAAATTAAAGTTAAGGGGCCCAAACTTTCGACAATAAATCTCCTGACTAAACTATTAAATAAAGTACTAAAAAATAATAATAGTAAAGATAATAATAATAAAAATAATAATAATAAAAAATAGTGAAGTAAATNCTCCAGCCTGGACGACTGTCCCACAAAATACTAATAATAATGATAAATAATAATAATAATAATAATAAAAATAATATTGATAAAAAAATGTTAAAAATTTTTTTTAAAATTGAATCATCTTTGAATGAAGAAATTTTCTCAATCTGCATAAAAAATTTTTTTTATTCGTTTAAGAGGTTTCAGAGATATAGCGAAAAATGCAAAGAAGAAAAATTAACGTTAAGTAGGGGCCCAAGCTTTCGACAATAAATCTCCTGACTAAACAACTAAATAAAGCAAAAAAAAATAATAATAATAAAATTAATAATAATAAAAAATAATAATAATAAAAAAATAATAATAAAAAATAATAATAATAAGTGAAAAATAATTGTTACAAATTATTTTCAAAATAGAATTATCTTTGGATGAAAAAATTTGCTCATTCTGTGTAGAAAAAATTTTATTATTAGTTTAAAAGCTTTCAGAGATATATGCAAAAAAAGAAAAAAGAAAGAAATATGCAAAGAGAAATATGCACATAAGTAAAATTAACGTCAAGGGACCCACACTTTCGACAATAAATATCCTGACTAAACTAATTGGGCCAAACTTTCCAAATTGAGACAACCCCTACTCCTTACATATGGAGGATTAAAATTCCAAATTCATTGAACAAAATCCGCACGCCGAAAGACGCACACTCTCCCTTGAGCTACCGCGGTTCAGCGTAACGTTTTTTTCTTTTTTCACTTATTTATTTTGTAATTCATAACACTAGATACTGTCTTTCATATTAAAAACTTTAGGATTGTGCTAGTTCTAAACAATAGTTAAATTTCAATAATTTGCCTCTATAGTAAAAGAGTTGAGGAGAGCTGAATTTTTAGGTTTATCAATCTTCTTATGAAAGTTTATACGTTTAAAATTATGTAACAGTCGGAAATAAAATGCCCTGATACAAATTTTTATGTAACATTTCGCTTACTTTTTGTTTTTGCTGGTTAGAATTTATTAAATTTCAAACACATAGGTACATCATTAAAAATTTTTTCTCTCTGTAAATTTTTTTTTGTTTAAAGGAAATTATTATTATTATTTTACGACGCTAAAAATATAATTTTCTGCATCTAATCCATTATGTTATCTAAGCATAATCTAATATACTTATTTAATGCACCAAGTTATTAAAAAATATTAGATAGTGATGAACATATAAATAAAAAAAAAAATTTAATGACACCTAATTTAAAAAGTAACTCATACTAAAATTTTTTTTTTTTAAAGTTTGATCACAAAAATGCGATTTAGAATAACTATTGTTTGCTATCATTTAAAAAATATGTATTTACAATGCTAAAAAAATTACATTTTTCATGAAATTTTATTAAAAAAGACTATTATTTAAAAATAAACTGTTTTGAAATTTTAAATGTAGGAGTCATTTTAGGTAATATTATTTATAAACTTATTTGTGACCAAAAATTTAAAAAATTAAACTTTGAAAAGTATTCAATGAAAGGGCCATTTTCAATTAAATGATATTGAATAATTGTATTAAGTAATATCTCTAGTGTTAATAATATTATAAACGATTTTATTTTTATACATACTTCAAATTTTATGTTATATAAGCTTTTAATTAGGTTTATACATACTTTTATATTTATTATATTATTACATTGATATATATCATATATTACATCGATATATATCATATTTTAAATAGATATAATAATAAAAATGAAAGTCTTCAGTTTTAAGATTTAAAACACCCACTGCCCGCCTTTAAAAGAAAATATTTAATCCGATTATTGTATTTTATCTTAAATTATTATTACAACACTGAATACACATACGTTAAATACACATTAGACTGGTACAAGTTGGGTCATATTCCCTTCTAGTTTGGAAAAATATTTTTTGTCTCTATTTATTTTCTCCATTTCAATGAGCTTAAGTCTCTTATTTATTAAAATAAAATCTTTTCTTCCTCTCTTCCTTTTGCATACCAAATTCAGCGCAGAACAATTACTGTCGAAGTCATAAAAAGCAGTATGATTTAGTGCCTCACCATGATTGGAAGACAAAAGAACAAAAACAAAACACTAACAAATCAGTGTCGAAAACTCATCGTCTCCGATTCAAATGGGGATGAGTCCTTAATATTAATTTCTTTTGCACTGGGTCTGGCAACCGAAGTATTACGCTTCAACCGTAACCCTTCACTTCATGACTATGACAGACAGACTTCCACCTTAGAACTAAATCACACTGGTCTAACCCATAACCGTGAACTTGCAGTGCCCAAATTTGAATAGGACAAAATGTTCGAAATCTTCAACGATCTCAAAGACTTCATCAAAGTCGACAGTATTCAGAATGACAACAATATATTTAGGCTTCACTACAGGTTCACTGTACTGGTTTTGGTTGGATTCAGTATACTAGTCAGCTGCCGTCAGTATTTAGGCGATCCTATAGATTGCATTCAGAGCGATGATATTCCGGAAAACGTTCTAGAAACTTATTGCTGGGTACATTCTACTTTCACATTACCTGATGCCTGGTATAAAAAGGTTGGTGTTGAAGTACCCCATCCTGGTATAGACAAGTACACTCCAGGAGAGACTAAAAAGTACCATTCGTATTATCAGTGGGTGTGCTTTGCGCTGTTTTTGCAATCGTGTCTGTTTTATCTGCCGAGATACATGTGGAAATTCTTCGATAGCGGTAAATGCAGGACACTGGTCATGGGTCTAAATTGTCCAGTTTTGAAACCTGAAGACGTAACACTCTGCAAGTTTTTGCTCGTCGGATATTTGAAAACACACCTTGACAGTCATGGAGGATACATTACATCGTTCATAATGCTCGAAATCTACAACTTTTTGAACGTGGTAGCTCAAATATTTCTGATGGACACGCTGTTTGGAGGTCAGTTCAGTACATTTGGGTTCGATGTCATCTCGTTTTCGAACACCGATCAAGAATACCGAACGGATCCGATGGTAAAAGTGTTTCCACGTATGACAAAATGCACGTTCCATCGCTATGGATCTTCTGGAGATATACAAAGGCATGATGCTTTGTGCATTCTGCCAATTAACATACTCAACGAAAAAATCTACATATTTTTGTGGTTCTGGTTTATCATTCTCGCTGTACTGTCTGGCATTGTTTTAGTGTTCCGATTCGTGTTGATAGTATATCCAGCGTCGCGCTCATATATGCTTACGCAAAAATGTGGAATAATAGATAGAAAAGATTTAAACACAGTGATGAAACACGTGAAATTAGGAGACTGGTTTGTGCTTTACTTACTTAGCAAGAACATTGATTCAGTATTTTTTAAGGAATTAATGCACGAATTCGCTGAAGAATTAAGAGAAGGTGAGAAAATGTTAAACACGAAAATAGATGATTATAAAAGCTTAACTTAATTTTTTTAAAGTAAGAAATATATTAATATTTTAATTATTATTTATTTACTAACAAGCTTATTGTTCAATTTTAAATAAAGAGAAAACAGTTAATCTTTAACAAAAACTTCTATCAGTGCTATTTATCTAAAAATGTCTATGAGATTATTTCAAAGTGCCAAATATTACTAATAAATCTGTTTATCGTTTACTGCCATTAAATATAAACTGAACTGTGATTGACTTCATTTTCAAAATCTTTAACAAATAAGAATTTTTAAATATACAAACATCCGATAATATATAGACATCATAATAATAGCTTAATATTATTCAAAATTTTAATAAATTCAGTATTTACGAATTATTATTGATACTTTAAAGTGCTAATATTTATAGTCTCTTAAGGTATTTTTTAAATGGAAAAAATTTCTTGAATTTTTTAATATTATTAATAGTGAAGCATGAGATTGCAAATACCAAAAAAATATACTTATGAAAATATAGATAATGATAACTATCAGAAAATAAAAAACAAATTTGTAGGCCGATAAAAAAATATTTTTAAATTATTTTGACCCACCATTAAGTTAAATCCATTCTTTATCTGCACAATATTGAAAAGAACAAACAAAACTGATTTAAAACTATTATTAATCGATTAAATATTGATTTAAAACAATGTTATAGATTAACTTTACAAATATTTAGATTTAAATTTACTCTTTGTCAGTTAGTTTTACAATTTACTAGATTTAAAATAATTCTTATTCAGTTAATTTTACAATAATTTAGATTAAAAATTTTTGTTAGTTGGTTAATTTTACAAACAGTTAAATTAAAAAGGATTTTAAGAAGGTTAATTTTTAAGCATTTGTGCAACTTTGTAAATGTTTTAGAGATTGTGTGCTATTTTCGTCTTTCAGAATATTATATACTTGTTCAAAATATTAAATAAAAGCTAGGCTACAAGTAAAATATCGTGTCTGTTTGTATTGCAAAGTTCATTAATTCCTGCTAGAATCTAAGTGCAATTCTCGTTAGGAAGTGTTAAATTTGCTCAAAAATAAAGTTCCATGCAATTCAAAAAATGTGTCTACAGCTTTCTTTGAAATTCATTTTGTCTGTCAACAAATAACAATTAAATGTCTTTTTTAAAGTTTTGTTTTAATCAAAGGTAAACCAAACATTTTGAGAGGAATTGGGAAAAAATCATCTCGAAAGGGGAGTGACGCCGAAGGAATAATTTTGGAACCAGAATGGGATCCATATGATGTTTTCGTGGATTTGACATCAAGAGAGTTTCAAGAACTTTATGCATCCGATGAAGATGATATTTAATCGATAAACAATAAGAACTTTCCTTAATAAAAAATTATCGTTTTCCTTTTTAAACGGAGACTTATAATAGAAAAAGTTTATTTATATAAGCATTTTTTTACTTGATAATTGCATCGAAGAGTTAATGATTCTCTCTTGAACTTTAATAACAAAATAAATATTTTTTTCATGTTGTTACGATAGTCTTTAATACTTGTTTATTTTGTCATAATTTATATATTTATGCACATGTATTTGTTCAACATAAAAGCAATTCATTGGTGAAATATCCTCATGAGGAGTTATATAGATTTTTTTTAATTGACGAAATTTTCGGTTTTTATAATAATAAGTTTTACAATAAAAAATTAAAAACAAATTTGTGCAGTAAATTTTTCAATAAAAAGTAATTTAAGATTGTTATAAACTAATAGTAAATCACAAGCCAACTATACCTTCGCATTTAATCTAAGAAAAGTGTTAAAATTGATACTGCAAATTTTCTCAATTTACAATATATTGCTAGGGACATCATCAATAAAGTAATTTATTGTTAAGTACTAATCTGTAGACTAAAAGGAATAATTTAGAGCGGGAGAAAGAACATAATGCTTTGAGAAAACGATTCTATAAAAGGTAGTTTTTTGGAATAATTTTCAGCATTTCAATTTTAAACTTTTGTTGCAAATGCATTTTTTCTATAAGACACATTTAGCCGCAATTTTTAGTAACTGCACTTTGAACCTATTTTCCTCCACTTTAACATTGTTAAAATATACTTAACTAAACCTTGTGTATCACATAATTTTTTCTCGACATGTAATTCGTAACACTAACAAGCTTACATCATTTTACATCCGAGAGAATGAGAGCTTTTCGTGTTTGTAGAGATTAATGATGTAAAAACTAAGCACAAATGATAATATCAGATACAAAAAAAAAATACAAAAAAAGGACTCAAGTTATTTAAATATTCAAAAAGAAACCAACTTAAAATAAAGTCAACATTAGAAATAAAAATTAAAAAAATAAGTGTTATAAATAAATATGAAATATTTACAAGAATTTTTTTAACCGATGCTTCAAAATTATTTGATACAAAAATTGATATAGCAATTGTCATAAGCGAGTGCATGAAGTTTAAAAAAAATCTCTATTCTGAAAATGGGGAGTATTCAAAGAAAGGAAGGAAGAAAGAATGATTTGAGGACGATAATTTTTAAATAATTCAATTTATTAGTTTAATTTTCGTCCTTTTAATGTTTCAATTTTGAATATGATTTTTACTAACATAGCAGTAAAAAAGAATCAACTAAAAATTAAACTGAACATTATAAATAAAAATTAAAATATAAAATTTAAAAAATAAATGTTATAAACAAATACAAAAGATAAACGAGAATTTTTTTTAAACCGATGCTTCAAAATTATTTGATACAAAAATTTATACAACAAATGTCATAAACGATTTCATAAAGTTCTAAAAACAGTTCTATTAGGAAAATGGGGAGTATTCAAAGAAAGGAAGGAAGGAAGAATAATTTCAGACTGATAATTTTTAAATAATTCTATTTATTAGTTTAATTTTCATTCTTTTAACGTTTAAATTTCGAATATGCTTTTTACTAACACAGCAGTCCTTCGCATAAATTCTTTGTTAACAGAATTTGTGCGAGAAAAAAAAATCACTCAAAATGTTGTTTTCTTAAATCCAACAGAAAAAAAAATCAATTTTTAAAATTTCCAATAAAAAAGGCCTTGTTCGGGTGTAAAAATGGCGTCATTTAAACTATAAAACGAACGATCATCTGGTTTATAGTTCATTAATTAAAAAGGACGTTCTTATTTTTCTGTTTTATGTATCTGCTTTTATGGTCCTATAACAGTTGAACTCGATTAATCATACTTCCTATTTACAATCAAAAGTATTAACTTCGCATTGTCATTTAGGGCTTCCTTATATAAATCTCTGAAAATATGCTGTACCGAAGGTCATTTAAGGGTATAATTAGAAGCTCACGGGAAGCAACTGACTGTAAATTAAAATTCATTATCTTCTGATTTATGTTCAATTTAATTGAGTTGAGCCACAATTCAAATTGTATGCGGTTATTTTAGTAAAGAACAGAAGTTTATTAACGGTTGAAATAGTATAACTTTTAATTCTAGACCATTTAACTTAATGAGTTATTTAATAGCGAATTTCTTAACTTTGTTATTCCATTTCTATGTGAAAATATGCTATGCTGAAATTAAATTAGAGAATTCAACGAAACATTTGGTTTCGAATCTGAAAGATTGAATTTCTTAATCAAACTTTGTAATTCTATTTTTATGCGAAAATATCGTATGCGGAAATTATAAATAAGTTAGAGAATTCAACGAAACCTTCGATTTCGAATCTGGAGGGTTCAGTTTTTTAATTTATAAATTTGTTATTCTATTTCTTTCTAAATCTAGAGGATTCAGTTCTTTAATTTCTTAAATTTGTAATCCTATTTCTTTACATCCTATGCTGAAATTAAGGAAGGTAACTAAACAAAACTTTTCCAAATGAGAAAAGTTCACTTTTTCAAAAGTTAATTCTTAACTTTGTAATTATATTTTAATATGAGAAGGAGATTTGTTGAAATTAAGTTAGAGAATTCAATGGAACCATTAATATTAAATCTGAAGTGAGTTTTAAATTTTTACTGGTGAGATCAAATCACATTTCAAACAGGCATTTTTAATTGGGTAAATACTTTTACTGCTCAAATATTTTAGATTTTAAGGATCGGAAACTTCTTAATTATGTTTGTGTGAAAATTATATTTTATCATTCATAAAATATTTTGCTTAAGCCAAATGGTTATCAGTTAAAACATTTAGTTCAATTACATAAGTAGTAATAGATTTAAATCTTTTGTCGATTAGATGTCCCCCACCTCTTCTTTGGCTTGAGGACGGACCCCATTGTCCCTTTCGCCCCTATCTGCACACCGCTGTTTGGAATCTAAATTCGTTTAAAAAAAAAAGGTAAAGAAAAACGAATAAAAGAAGGAATATAGCAATAGAAAATTAATCAGAAAATATTATGTATATAAGAAAATGAACAGTAATTCCTAGTTCAATTAGTTTATAATCATTGTGTGGCACCTGTGTGTGCACACGGTGAATGTGTAATGTCTGTGTGCCTTATGTGAATATATTCTTTGTGTTGGGCCAGCAAACAATTAAAAAGTCACTGCATTGCTAGCAAACCTAAACATATAAGTTATTTTGTGTTAAAACAGCATATTTATTTTATTTTACTGACTTTAGATTATTGAAAAAATAAAAGATGGTAAAATGTTCACTAATAGTAACTATTTCAGCATTTCAGGTTTCCTGAAATACACAATATTAATAAACAAATAAAAAAAAGAAACAAAGAAATAAAATAATAATACTAAAGAAAAAGAAATACCTTAATAACTTTCGATATTATTAACTCTCTTAATGACACTACACTCTCTTAATGACAATTAAATCAATACTTTTTCCTTTAATTGGTTTTTAAAAATCGATGGTTTTACTGTTTTTCGACACAGAAACATGTTAAGTTCACTACCTGTAAAAAAGGTGAACAGAATCTTTCTAATTTGACCACCTGTCTACCTTGCATGTTGACCACTAAAATAAGTAATATTTATTTAGGAGTGTTGTTGAATGCTATACAGCGAATAAGATGGCAAAACTTGTAAGGGAGGTAAGGCACATCATAGGGGTTAAGAATTGCTTAGGAACTGAAAATGTTATCCTACGCCGCTAGGGGTGCTTCCCCTATTATGAACTTTTTCTTCTTGCGATCTAAATTATCTTAGTTTCCAATGATTAATGTCGAAAATGACTCTTAAATTGGTTCGTTATCAGAATTTTAATCATAATTAAAAGTTTTTGCTTCTAATTTGACTCTTATACAATTCTTAATCCTTATGATGTGCCCGACTTACCCTAGTGATTTCGCTGTCTGGTTCCCCCTCTCTTTTGTTCATACTCTCTTTGTACTGTTCAAATTCTCTTGTTCAACCCTCGTTTCATAAGTTGGCCGAAAATTATCTATACTATTAAATAGACTATACTATTAAAGTTTCACTTAATTAGTGAAATAGTATTCAAAGTTAATCGAAATGACTGTATGAGTTGACAATGAAAAAAATTTAATCAGGGTTTTTATGGAATAAGAAGTTTGTATGCATAACAAATTAAGGTGTTCAATGGTGAAATAAATATATTCAGAAGTTTTTTAATTGTTCTATAGTGTATCGATATTTGTAAAAAATAAATTTATAATAAATAACTGCCATGTTTATACATGGCAGTTATTTATTATAAATTTATTTTTTACAAATAACTAACAAAATATGTAGATCTAANATGCATAACAAATTAAGGTGTTCAATGGTGAAATAAATATATTCAGAAGTTTTTTAATTGTTCTATAGTGTATCGATATTTGTAAAAAATAAATTTATAATATATAACTGCCATGTATAACTAACAAAATATGTAGATCTAAATTTTTAAAAGCTAATCAATTTAATATAGATTTTATAAAAAAATTGTCTTCTGCAAATGATCTCATTTCTTAAAATATATAAGGTATTTACAAAATAAAATTTTTAAAAATTAAAAGTTATATATCAAACTTTGAAGTATGCTGGGAAGAATTGTTGCATCAGTTAATTGTACGAAATAATTATGTACATTGTTTTAAAAAAGAAATTATAGTAACTCTGATTTAGTATCCAAACAATTTAACATTATTTTTTGTTTAAAGTTAATCAAAAGCAGTTTGAGCAATAAAAATTTCTTATGTTTTTATTCCTCTTCTATTGAGTTTGATCTGGTAGTGACATCTATTAAACGTTATTCTAAATAAAAAATAATTACAAAAAATAGCTATTCTTATTTTGGATCGAATTTTTTCTCAAAAGAAAGCATTAAATTTCACATGAAATATTTCAAAAACAATATTCTTATTCATAACAGCTTTACTTTTTGATAATATTTATTTTAAAACTTATTCTGCATTTTAATTTAAAATATCACCTTGTGTGCTGCCATCTACATGATATTATTTAGAATATAAACGCACATTAAATTATTATTCAGAGTACATTATATTAATTATATTTCAAATTTTCTTATTTAGGCTGTGTATGCAAATTTAATTCTTTTTTATTTTTATAAAGATATTAGGTTCAGGAAAAAAGCAATTGGAAAATTTTATCTGTTCGAAAAATCTCTTTCACAAAAAATATAATAAGCATTGATTGAATAAGAGCGATTTATTTCAAAAATGTGAGAATTTTTGAACTATGAGAATTTGCTTAGTTTACAAAGAAAATAATTTACTCTACAACTGTTTTTAAATAATAATTTTTACTAAGTTACTGTGTTTATTAGTTTCAGAATGAGGAATCGTGTATTCATGCAATTCAAAGTTTTAGCAAAATTTACAAATGAATCGGTGGCGTCATCTACTTATTCCGCATTCAAGCAAACAAATTTTAAAACTAAAAAACGTTCTTACTCTTTAAATTTATTGTAAGCGATAAAAATTCTCTGAACTTAGCGTGTTTTAAGCTAAATAAGTCTTCTTTCATTCTTTCTTGACATAAATTAGCATTTTAAAAGCAAATTGTGGCTTACTTATTAATATGAAACCAGTTTCAAATAGATCTCACATTATACAACATTATAATAAATTCTCATTCCCGTTATTGCCAATATTGAGAGTCGAAAATTGAAAATTTTCTTGAAACTTTGCATTTGAAGTCGACGTATACCCGATTGAAATTTGCACTCTTCTTCTGGTTAAAAAAAAGTCTATGAATTGCATTAAAAAATAAAATTTCGCCCTTATTTGAACACAACTGAGTTAACAAAGCAATGCGTGATCTACATATTTAAAAGAAACTGTAATTTTTTTGCAGATGAATCTTACACAAAATGAAAATTTTCTCATTATTACAGATGAATTCCGGCCCGTGAATAAGGATAACAGACGACCCAGCAGAATACTGACAGCATTTCAGAACGGATACTTACTTTTGAAGTATTCGTAATGTGATGACTTTCGAATCGAAATTTTTTTTTCTTTGCTAAACAATATTACATTTAAGTTTCAGATCGTATTTAACAAATTTTCATTAAAAATTACGCATTTAAATTTTATTTTTCATGGAAATTTTTAAGACTCCGATATAAAAATGTCCCGTTATTTACGACGTTTTTGTCCAGTCTAACGAGAGTCGTTAGATCGAGATTCTACTATATTTTAAATTATTCTTTTATTCACAAGTTATACTCATCAAACAAAAACAAACGTAGTATACATTTTTAAGCGAAACATTGGCAGAAAGCAATTACTTTGAGGGATTTGTTTCAAAGAATTCTTATCTACGATTGGCAGTTCTTGGTATCACCGTTTTTTCTGTTTTTCTTAGCTTGACTTCTGATTATTAGAAGGAAAAAAAAAAAAAAAGATAATNCTTCTGATTATTAGAAAGAAAAAAAAAATTTTTTTATTGCGAAGCAACTTGTAAGATATTTTTTATTCAATTGATAGTTTTTAAGTTTTTGAGGTGGGCGGCTTTTCCTATAGTATAACTTTATGAGTAATAGTAAAAACAAATAATGATTGATTATAGATAAAGATTATAGAAAACATCATCAATACAGTGTTTAAAAATAAAAAATTTTACTAAAAATAATTTTTTTCTTTCCAAAGTATGAAAGGCAAATTTTTATTGTATTCGTTAAAATAATTTTTATTTTCCTTGTCCGGGGTCAACGCGTGAAAATCAAATAAATAATCCCTCGAAATTAAAGATTAAGATTTTTATTCAAAACTTTAATAACAGTTTACGGTAGNAAAATAATTTTTATTTTCCTTGTCCGGGGTCAACGCGTGAAAATCAAATAAATAATCCCTCGAAATTAAAGATTAAGATTTTTAATTCAAAAATTTAATAACAGTTTACGGTAGTTTCTATTTTTTTTTTTTTTTTTTTTTTTTTTTTTTTTTTGGAACGAAAATTGCACTTGTTTTTTAACTTGCATTTTTTACACGTTATTCTTTAACTCGTTATCTTTTAATTCGTTATCTTTTAATTCGTCATTTTTTAATTCGTCATTTTTTAATTCACTATTTTTTAACTCAATTTTTTTATTGGCTACTCTTTAGAAACTGAACTTTCCGCGCAAAACATTACATTAAGTAATTTTATTTTCATGTGTTACTTTTCAAAAGTAACGTTCGCATATATGGCGATAATTATATATATAATTATAATTACATTAATACGAATATAATGATAATTATATTAATACGAACAAGAAGTATGAAATAAAAAATAAAACTCTATTTATAACTTCTACCTGAAACAAATGACCTCACTTTGCCACCATAAAACAAATAAGAGAGAATGTTAGTTCAGGTGTAATTTTTAAAATATTCCATTTACAACGGTGGTGGCTAGACATAGGCAACGTCACTGGTCTACTTTACAGTTAGAGCCATTGAAAACAAACTTGAGTAGTAAAAAAAAAGCATAAATAATCAATTTTATTCAGAGTGATTAAAAATTAACATTTTTACATATTTCATTGTATCTCATGCACTACACAATCTCGATTCTAGTGCTTTAGATCGTAATTTTTATTCATAGTTATTATTTTCCATAGAAAAAATTTCTGCTCGTTATATTGGTTTTTTGATTGACTTTTCAGCTTTAAATTTTTCGGTTTAGGGGTTGTTCAAATATTGCCTGAGCAAGTTTTTGGCAATTTCGGGTCCCACCTCCTCCTTGTCAGCAAATATAAGCAAATCATTAATCTTCTCCCATGCTTACGTAAGAGAGTTACAGTAATACCCTCCCATGCTTACGTATGAGAATTGCAACAACCCTTCTTTGTTTTTTGCTCTGACTTTAACTACAGTAATCTTTTTTTTAGAATTACATTCAGAAAAACAAAATCTACTTTCGGATTCATAATACGAAATCTTAAGTAGAATTTTCTTTTTGTGTTTTGCTTTTATGGCCACAACTCTTAACCACTTAATCTTCGTTTTCGAAATTTTTTCCCACTTTCTTTCCTCAATATAACTTTTCCATAAGTAATGTTTCTTCAAAGTTTTTTTTTCTGTTGTTGTTGCTTTAATTTGCCTTTAATTTTTTTAAAAGAAAAATAAGGGGATAATAGTGTTTTACGTAAGCATTGCTCATACTTTTCCTCAGGTCTACAAAAATAACCAAAATACAACCCCCGGGTCTTGGTGCTTACGTAGTATTTTAATGGCTGCTTATTCTCGTGATTTTGTTTTTAATAAATTTTTGATGATCGTACATTTTGAGGCAGTATAACGCTTTTTATAAAAAGCGATTGATAAAGAATTTATTAGAATAGTAGAAAAGTACTTCTTTTTCTTTTCTCTTAAAATTTTTAAACAAAATGGCTAAGTAATTAGAATTTTAGGGTGGGTAATCTAGTGCTGTATGCCTGCCTCTTTTAAGAGCTTTAAAAGTAACAGGTCCATTTGTGGCGTGACTACTACTATAAATATTAAATACCGAATCACTAGTATATAAGACATGTTAACTTGATTCAATCAGGAGGTACCTATTGACAGACGAAGGTTGACTTAGTCGATAATTAATTCCCCTCAACGGTGACCCGGACGTAAAATGAACTTTCCAACATTGATGAATGGTCCATATTAAGCAGTTGATTTGTTTACTGCTCAAAGAAAAAAAGAATCCGATGAAGTAATAAAGTCTCCCGGTCGATAAATAATGTTGAAGGAAAAAAAAATGAGCGAAACACTATAAACAAAAATGAAGGGAAAAAATGAGCGAAATGCTATGAACAAAAATGAAGGGAAGATAATTAATGAGCGAAATGCTATGAAAGAGAAAAATATAATGAGCAAAAATGTTACAAATTAATAAACAGCATGAATCAACTAGTGGTATCCGTTCGTCGAATTTCTATCCCAGATAAAATTCTGGAAGGGGAGAAATGTGGCGTAACTACCACTATAAATATTAAATACCGAATCACTAGTATATAAGACATGTTAACTTGATTCTTTTGATAGATGAAGGTTGACATAGTCGATAATTAATTCCCCTCATATTCTTTGAAAAAGTGATAAATGCTTTTCAGTAATTAGTTGAGTCAGGATAGTAAAGAACATAAAAAATTTATATAACTCACATAAACACTGAACTATTTTTTATTTTTTTGCCTGATTAGAAAAATATTTTTATTTTCTGATTAACTTAAACCAAAAATATAATTCGACAAAATTTAAAATTGTTCAATAAATAGTAAATACTTCAAATGTTTTTATACTTAATTATTCTTATGATAATTTTACACTTAAATTATTTTAAGTATTTTTACTTATTTATCTGATGCAAATAAAATATTTTTCTATGTCTATAGGAATAATAAATTTCACCGATGTAATAATTGTACTTGAAAATGCATTTTTAAACACAACCGTTAGTTATTGTTTATCTTCTAAACTTCCAGCGCTACGATTTAGAAAATTGTTTTGATAGTGAGTCACCGTAAAAAGTATTACTCAAATAATAATAAATTATCTATGAATAATCTTTTAAAGAATGTTTATTAGATAAGATAAACTACTTATTGTTTTTATTAAAAATAAATTTAACAAATTTTTCCAAGAAGGATAACTCTATAATGAGATTATTACCTTTAGACCTTTTATTTATTAATATATAGTGTGATAGAATTTACTTCTTTTTCTGGCTCTAAAAGATGTCAGTATAAAAAGTTTTTTTGTAATTTATCTGCTCAGAAATAAAGATACAAAATTATCAGCTCAGGTGAACTTTATACCTGCTTATAAAAGGTAAAAAAAATTAAGTCTAATCTATACAATAGACTCTTGAAAGAGAAGAACTTAAGATAAGAAACTTTATCAACACTTCAAACAAGTTGTCGTAGTTTCTAGGAATCAAAAATTTTTTGAAGTGCTGGCATAACTATAGACTAAGGAGTGGCTGATATACTTCAAAACATCAAATAATTAATAAACTGTAAGTATTTCTAATGAAATAATGAAAATTAAAAGTCTATCAAACTGACTTTACGTACTTAAATTTTTGAAACTCTTTGCTCAGAAATTATTGTATACAATATAACAGTACCATGGATAAACTGTTTGGTGATTTAAAAGGATTTTTTAAGGTTCGTAGAGTGAAGGATACGAATAGAGTAATCGTTGTTGACAACTTTATATTTCGACTACATTATCGTATTACGATAGTTATTCTCATAGCATTTAGTATTGCAGTTACTGGACGACAGTATGTTGGTGATCCGATTGATTGCATTTCAAAGGATGATATACCAAACGAGTTGTTGGATACTTACTGTTGGATAACCACAACTTTCAGTGTAGAAGATGCTTGGAAGAAAGAAGTTGGTAAGGAGGTACCCTACCCTGGTATACAAAAGTACACTAAAGGTGAAAAGAGGATCTACCATGCCTATTACCAGTGGGTTTGTTTCGTACTCTTCTTGCAAGCATTATTGTTTTATGTACCACGGTACTTATGGAAGAATACGGAGCACAACAAAATTGAGAATCTTGTTATGGAATTCGGAAGTCCCATAGAATGCGCGGAAAACAATCCAAAAACTAAACTGCTCGTGTACTATCTAAAAGAAAACATGTCTTACCACACATTCTATGGGTCTATGTTTGTGTTAGCTGAATTATTGAACTTCATCAATGTTTTGGGACAGATTTACTTGATGGATACCTTTCTTGGTGGAGAATTCACTACTTATGGCACAGAAGTATTGTCTTTTACGGAGTGGGATTATTCTTTGAGATATGACCCAATGATTAAGGTCTTCCCTAGAATGACCAAGTGTACTTTCCACAGATATGGTTCATCTGGTGATGTACAGAAACACGACGCCATGTGCCTCATCCCTATCAATATCCTCAACGAGAAGATTTATATCTTCTTATGGTTCTGGTTTATAATTTTGACCGTCTTGAGTGCGCTTCAGCTGGCTTACAGAACAGCCATCATAATCTTGCCGAAAATTCGTTTCTATATTCTCAGGGCCAAGAATCAAAAGATTGATCCACATGAATTGGATGTTGTCCTGCGCCGCTGCGACAGAAATGATTATTTTGTACTGAATTTGTTGAGCAAGAACATGACGCCTTGTAACTTTAAGATACTTATTCATGAACTAGCACTTACGCTAACAGATGAGAAAAGGGTGTAACTTTTTTCAAACTTTGGCAGTAATTTCAGTTTTTGAAACTGAAACAGCATTTCATTTTATTTGAAAAATTTAGTGGCAAAACATGTTAAGGGCAAAAATTAGCCATAGGAGTAAACATTAGAAAGATATTTATAATGTTTCTGCTATAAATCATCTAGGTTAAAAATAATAGGAAATAGAATTAATAAATATTCTACATGAGAGCTAAACACAGTATGTTATGTAATTTGAAAATATATATTAGAGTTCCTCAAATTGTTCTTAATATATTCAATATGATTGTTTGCAAAATTTTCATTAACATGTTCCATGTAAATGTTTAAAGAGATTTTTTCTTAAAATTTTCCTTAACATGTTGAATTTGTATTTTTTCTAAATTTTGCTTAACTTGTTCAACATGAGTGGTTTCAAAATTTTACTTAACATGTTATGAAAAGTTATAAGGGTTTTATAAGTTCACGTAACATTATATGAGAGAGGGTTTTAAAAATTTTACTTATCATGTTTTACCACTAAATTTTTCTTTTGTGAAAGTTCACGTTAGTTTACATCTTTATATATCATACCATTTATTATTGAGAGAACTCGTATGAATTGTAGGATAGGCGATACGAAGAGATTAAGTTACAGTTGGAAAATGCAACGCAAATACAGTTTTTTTTTGTATAAAATGTTTCTTTAGTTTTTTCAATTTATCTACTATTGAATTATTTGTTGCATGTTTATTATTAATAGTTATTTAGATATTTTAATTCGTAGCATAGTTTTTTTGATTTAAAAATTAATAATTGGAAAATATATTTTAATATTGTGTACTTTTTTTATATTTTGCTGGAAAATAAATTAAATAATTACTTTAGGATAATTCTATTTATTTTGAACGAAGGTTTCAATACTTTTTATAAAATAAATAAAAAAATAATTAAAGACTTATATTAGAATATTACTTTTTTGGTATTTGCATTTTTGTGTATCTAATTTTAAAACTACATAAAGCAATTAAAGTTTTGAGATTTGTAACTTTTTAAATTTTTTGCATTCAAAAAAGAATTATCTAATGAAAGTATTACATTTTTGTTTCCAAAACTGAATTATTTTTAACTCAGAAAAGGGTGTTTTATAATTGCTTCCCTTAGCATATACTTTTAGAATCCTTGTCAAAACTTAAGTAAAAAGTATTCACTTTATAAGTGGGAAATTTATATATAAGCGAAGGAAAAAATTAACATCATCAAAATATAATGAATATCAAGTAAAAAAGGAGGAACTGAAAATATCAGAACCTGTTTGATTGCCGTTGTTAAAAGAAAAAATTTGAATTGCGGTAGTCAGTAGTAAAACGCCCTTATTTCATCAGGCAACCAAACGGGCTTTAATATTTTCTACTTCCTTTATTATTTTGCAACTCCAATATGTGCGTTTTTTACTTCATTTTTGTCAAAGATTCTAAAAGTTTACGTCAATGGTTATTATTATGAAACTGTCTGTGCATTTTATGGGGACTAAAGTATCTAAATACCTGATTTGTAACTATTAAGAAATATTAAACAACTAGTTCAGTAACTCGACATTTTAGAAGATTAGGTGTTTATTCAGTCTTTCTATTAAAAAAGCTGTATTACAAAATGTTTAAGGGGAGTGTTGACCTAGCCAGTTTCCAACCTAGCCAACTTTTAGCTATGTTTTTTATTTCTTTTTAAAAACTATGTGCAATTCATACTTTTGATTCAGTAAATTTATAGTACATGCTCTATTTTCGTAAACAAAAGGAAACTAATGGTAAAATTAAATTTGAGAAATGAAAAATTAAAAATACTCTACTATACGATCATTTGATATAATCATTTCCTTCTGCTGTCAGTAATTGTGTTTAAAATTTATACATATTTGCTGTCGCAAATTAATATTTATGAGTTAATGTCGATCCCACAACGTGTCGATCACTACTATCTAAGACAATCACTTCGAATGTTGTGTTAAAAGAATTAAACTAATTTGCTTGTGGGATAAAACTGAAAGACTAACTTTTCTCAGTATTTTTACTTAACATAACAATCCCACGAGATTTCAAGCTTTTAATTACAACCTCATAATACCTATATAACACCTATATAATCCATTCCCGTGATTTTGATAAAGTTTTACTTCCTCAAAATAGCTTGCAACCAGTAACGTATGTTCTTTATTATTTATTTATTTACTTCGCAATAGCTAAGACATTTCAAAATATAAGACGGTGACAGTAGATTTCTCTACATGCTATTAGATTACCCTGTAAGAAAATTTTGGAACTTGTTAAGTCAGAGGTTCCTAAACTTTTTTTTAACGTGAACTAATTTCAAAGTTTTACTATTTTCGGTAGACCCCCTGCTGCTACATTTCTACTGTATTCCCAAAACTCTTAAAAAATATCACCCTAAATTGGGGGTGTTGGGAAGAAAAAAAAGTTGCACATTTTCTTGTGTCCTATTTATTAAAATAATACTTGTGGTTATACAAAATTATAAACATTTATTATTACAAGCAATCAACAATTGACAAAAAATCAACAATGAACTCTGAAATGTAAATCAACAATAAAAAACAGTCATACTTTTAATGAGGCGGATGTACTTGATGAATTGACAGCGAATTATCAATATTTGGCTTCAGTTTTGTAAGAAGTAATCTCAAATCTTCCCGTTCTGTGATGTTCAATCTGCTCCTTTTTTTTTGTTAACAGGTTGGTAACGACGCTAAAACTTTTTTCGACAAGATGTGACGAGGGAAACGCTATCAAAAATTTTCTCGCAATTTCCCACAGCCCAGGATATTTTTCGGGGATTTCTGCCTGCAGCCAAAATCTTTGATAGCCTTTTTAAAATGTCATCTTCAGTTCCTCGTTGGTGCTGAGCTCAAGTAGCTCCTCTTGTAATAACACATTCGCCTCTTCCGCTTCAACAAGTAGGGTTATGATCCATGGTGGTATTTCCATCATCAAATATCTTCAAATCTATTTTTGAAGTCATCATGCAGGGTATTTAAATGCGAGCGGGCGCACTGGCGGCACTTTGAAAGTCTCGACATGTGGTGTACACTTGTACTATTATCTATTGTTGTATTTAATTCTGTGTTTGAACTGAGTCTCGAATATTTTTGAGTACCTACCTAGTGAATGATGCTACCCGCCTTCTTTAATAAGTAAATCCAAGTCAATAGTGGACCCCCACTTACAACTTGTGAACCCCTGTTTTCTTTTCACGTCTACGTAGACCCCCTTGTGGTCTCCTATGGACCCCTGGGTGTCCACCTGGACCACTTTGGGAACCTATGTGTTAAACCATCAAATTAGCTGCATCCTCTATTTATTGCTAATTTGAAGCATATTAGAGAGATTTTGAAAAGCGTCAGGGTTTCCCCTATTGGAGTTTGCCGGCACAATGTTTCTCAACAAATTGTAGCATTGCTACGTGGTAGAAAGTAAGATTTGCGTTTCTCTTAACTCAAGACAAACGTCATGCAAAATCTCTCTATATTACTTCTTACGATACTATTGTTCAACTGGATTAAAGACATAGTTCTTCTTAACTTCTTATTAAATACGCATCAAATTTGCATTCTAGTATGATTCAAGGTATAGACATTGTGATTTAACGTTAAGCCAATTTTCTTAGAGTGTACACTACTATTGAGACTGAATGAATGATAGTGCAGAGCTACACATAAAGAAGATAACATTAAGGTGACATAGTAACAAGACATTTATGAATTATAAATTTTGTTTATTTAGTTATTTTATTATCGTGACGTCATTTATTACCAAAGACAAAATACGAAAAGAAAATTTTAAAATCGTTAACATTTGCAACTACAACAAAATATTTCAATAAAATCAGCCTCGAAATGTCTGATACCAATAAAATGCCAAGTACCGAATCTTGAAATTGCTATAGTTTGAAGATATGTTAGCACTAGAATATATTATTAAAGAACATGGACAGTTGCTTTCAGGAATGCAATAATGGGAATACATTCCGTAAAAAATTTTTGTTTATTTAAAAATACGTCATTTCATTGCACACTGGAGTCTCACATGTTAAAACATTAACAGTTGTTAATGAGAATGCAACAGTCTTAACACGTTCCACAAAACAATTGCTGTTTTGTATTTAATAATGTGTTGTTTCATTCAGCACTAACGTCTGTGATGTAAGAATTTAACAATTGCTTTTAGGTATGCGATACATAGAACACGTTACACAAAATAATTAGTGTTCTGCATTTAATAATATATTATTTCATTCAGCACTGATGTCTGTGATGTAAGAATTTGGACAATCGATTTTAGGTATGCAACACACAGAACACGTTACTCCAAATAATTAGTGTTATGCATCTAATAATATATTATTTCATTCAGTTTTGATGTCTGTGATGTAAGAATTTGGACAATTGATTTTGGGTATACAGCACCCAGAACACGTTACTTATTACACCGTTACCATTACATCCAGAACACTTGCCTAATTAATGCAGATTATTGAAACTTACAATAACAGCTGAAGGAAACTTTACCAGAAGAAATATTACGATGTATATTTACCAAACATGATTGTATAACTATGAACCAGAATACAGTGGCGTTATAACTGGGGTTATCTATCCTACTTTTACTACAATCATATTTTGTAATTGTAAGATCAAACTAATTGCAAACAAAATTGTAAGGAAGATATCCAAACATATACGTAATAATTGTTTTATGATGTAATTAACGAACGAATACAAAGAAACGACACTATACTCCATTGCAAGTTAAGAAAAGATCATTGCGGTATAGGATTTAAGTAATCATCCGCGACTTCGTATAGTTCCGTTTTATTTCATTATCAAATTATACTAATATGCTCTTAAAACAATTTAAAAACTTTTAAAAGTTAAACACGAGCGACAGAAATTTTATTCGTGCTAACTTTTATGATATATATCACAGAATTATTAAAAAAAAAAGGATGTAATTTCGAAGTTGTATTGGAATCCTAAACTTGGCGACATATTTCGATAAATAAGAACATTCGTTCTTGAAAAGAAACAACTATATGACCTTGCAAGAGCAGTGGATTTGATAGGACCACTAAAAATGGCGCGTTTTATGCTGGCACGCCCTTAACAAATCAAAAGCGACATAAGAAATTTTTATTTTTGTTTCACCGTAGAAGAAAATAATCTACACGAAACAATATTTATTATTCTTTCATCAGTTTCTTTAAATGCGAATAGAAAGACGTATATTTGTTACAATTTTTAGATATGATTTTTATTAATTCATATAGCTTCTTAATTGATTGTTCAATAAGTTTTGTTTTCCTCATTTCACACGATTTAAGAAAGCAAGTAAAAATGGGGCCTCGTTTCAAGATTTGGCGATGTTGATACGCGTTCGCGCTGGGAGCTTGGCATACACTTAGATGTAAACAGGCTCTCTCCATAGGAATAATGATTTTTTCTTAACTTGCAACAGAGTATAAATCTTTATGTAGCTAAATTAATTCGTATTTCTTATCAAATTAACTTTTGTGTATCAGTGTTGCTGCGGAAAACTACCATCTGCGTACCCTTTTCTCATATCCGATATACATTTACGTCAGATATATATGATATATATGTTTACGATGAAGATGAAAGAAGTATATCATTAAATAATCATTTATT